AGCATGCAGGGCTGTCTAGAGGCCACAAACTGGAACATCTTCAAAGGGGCCACAGATGACATCCATGAATATGCAGAGACTGAGTGACTGCATCAGCTGATGCACATCCATATGTGCACCAGCAAGAACTGTGTGTGTTTTCCCCAAACAGAAACCCTGGTTTAATAGGGATATAAAACAGAAAATCAGGAAGAGATGAGAGGCTTTGTAGTGGTTAACAATAAACAAGATTCCAGAGATAATATGTAATAGAACAGTATGTACTTCACATATAGATATTATTTGTACTAGTTGTGTGAGGGAGAGCCGAGTGGTTATGGGTTCATTAAGTTCATGTGAGTTGGATAATGGGCTTATGTTAGTTGGTCAAGATGTTTCCTATTTGTGAAGTACATCTCAGGGTGTTGTCTCCCAAAACTGGAGACAGGAAGCTAAGTTCAGAAATTGACGCAACAGCCTAAGGAGAGCTGCTGATAAAAGAGTGAGCCTGAAGGAGAGGGGATGACAATGCTAAATGATGTACTTTGTGGGGATGCTGACCCAGCCGGCTGGGGGGATGCTGAATTAAGACTGACTCGGGACCAACAACAAATGGCTTGACTGACTGGTGCTCTGACAATCTTCTTATGCTTTATCTATCACATTGCAGGAGGAGAGTCTCTGTTCTCTGATCTCTGTTCTCTGTTCCCTAACTACAAGATTATGTGTTTAAATACTACTCTATTCAGAATAATTGTAATATTAAATGATCCTTTAAATTGGGATGGTTTGTCTGAATTAATTTAGTCGGTATCACACTCTAGCCAAGACAGAGGTTCGGCATGTCGCCTAGGATCCTTTGCAACTTCTACAGCTGCATAATTGAGAGCATCTTGACCGGCTTCATGAACCTTCAACCTTCCGGTTGGGAGACGACTGCTCTACCCACCGCACCACTGGCAAGCAGCTTCAAATACCTGGGCGTCCACATCAGTGACGACCTCACTTGGACACTTAACACCACACAGCTGGCCAAGAAGTGAAATGCAGGACATCTAGGGTCAAAGGTTCAAGATTCAAAGTGTTTATTTGTCATATCCAGACTGAAAAACTCTTTCTTTCCCTCTGCCATCAGACTCCTAAACAGCTGACAGGAGTTTATTACCAGGAACTACGTCATGTAATGTCGACCTGTAGTGTTTACATTTTCGGTTTGCACATGCATAACTGCACATTGCCTGTTGCCTGCTGCACATGCTGCTCCCATGCAGCATACATTCTCTTATTACACTCATATATTTTTATTATATCTCTGCATTTGCTGCTTTAAAGTGCCTTAGATTTTGTGTTACTTATTTATCTACTTTATATTTCATTTGTATTTTGTGGCATTCATGTGGATGGCAAAGTAAGAATTTCATTGTACAGGGAAACACGTTTCCTAACTGTGCATATGACAAATAAACACTTTGAACTTTAACTACCTGACTCCTGTTGATGTTTATTGACATCAGAAGCCTCGTGTTGCCACCATCACTTTCTATGTTTAATGGGTGTGTTCAGTAAAGACATGAAAGATCATGACTGTGTTTTATCAGCTTAGAAATATTATTCATATATACAGTATATATTTGTTGATACAGTATTTGTGACTTTGGTGAAGATCTGATCACATTTCATGACCAGTTTATGCAGAAAACCAGGAAAATGCAAACATTGACATCACTTTTTCTTGTGAGTATATAAATACTGGTTTCCAACATTTCAGAGCAGATTTCCAAAGATAATTTTAGACATTTGATGATATATATTACCTTCATCATTGTCTCCATTGCATATTTGTTCTCTGCATGCTTTTTCTCTGCCTGGGATCTGGACTTTGAAAAAAGCTTTTCCTGGTATTTCAAAAGAGCCTGTTCTCTGATGTCTTTCTTTTTTAATTTATCATCTGAAACACAGTGACATATAATGGTAGATTAATTGTATGCAAAGGTATATGATACTTTTTATCAAGTCAAGCAGACAAAAAAAATAATGTTCCCTTTTGAGCTGAGTGTTTGATGATCTTTGTCTAGCAATTTTAATCTAACCTGGGGGTGGTCAGTGCATGGCTTGCACATGTAGTTGGGCACTAAGAGAAATCCAAACTTTCATCACAATAAAATATCATATTGGTTCTCTTAGACAGAAGTCTGGTGTTGGCCAAAGTCTAAAATTAGGCCACAATGCAATTTTGCTTTGATTCAATTCAGGGGACTGTGATTGATATCAAATGATTTTACGCTATGTGCCTATTCCATCCATCCATCCTAGGTCAGGGTTGGAGCATAGACTGACAAAATAAATTGAAAGCTTTGCCTTTTGGTTCAGCTTCTTCATTACAACAGTCCGGTACAATGTCCTCATTACTGCTGATGTTGTCCCTATCCGCCTATTAGTCTCATGCTCAATTTTATCCTCACTCATGAAGAAGACCCCGAGATACTTAAACTCCTTCACTTGGGGCAGCAACTCATTCCCAACCCGGAAGGAAAAGTCCTCTGGCAGAACACCATGGCCTCAGACTTAGAGGTGCTGACTCTCATCCCTGCTGCTTCACACTCAGCTGAAACTGCCCCAGTGCGTGCTGGAAGTCACGGTCTGATGAAGCTAGCAAAACCACATCATCAACAAATATTAACGATGCAATTCTGAGGTCCCTAAAATGGACATTTTCCTCCCTCCGGCTGCATTTTGAAATCCTGTCCTTGAAAATCACAAACAGAATCGGTGACAAGGGACATCACTGGCAAAGGCCAACACCAACTAGAAACGTGTCTGACTCCTTGCCGAGTATACGGACACAACTCTTACTCCGGTTACACAAGGACTGGATGACTCGTACCAGCGGCTCTGGTGCCACGAACTCTCAAAGTTCCCAAAATTTTTTTGATTCGAACACATCATTACAATTCAAATTTGTATCTTTTTTACCACGTTTGAACAAATGTTTGAAATTCAAATGAAAAGTGACAGCCCTATTATGGATTAATCTCTTAATCTGTTGATGTTCCCAATTTTCCAGAAGAAGAAAGCCACCCACCTTTCATGAAAGATTTAAAGACTAAGTCTTAGGACTCCACTCTGGAGGCATGGCTACTGGTTTAGTGAAATGACTACCAGGTCAGCTATATGCTCTTACTTGTAGTTATCATCAAATGCTCCCACATTTTATTGGTCCTCTTTGGCAAAGTGATGATTGCAACTCCATTTCCAATCTTTGCTGTGCTTCTGTCATCATCAACTGGTTCAAAGAGGAATGCTTCAAACAGATATGGTGGGTAATGCACCTGTACAGAAAATAAGGGGGGAATATAGAAATAAATAATGCAAATCAGTCAAATTATCCTTTTACACCAGCTTCTCTCTCTTAGAGAACTTTAGGGAAGTTTTACAGCGCTGTAGCAGCCTTTATGGTGCAGTGGTGAAGCTTTACAGGAAGGTTCTGAAAAAGAAAAAAAAAAACAGGAGACTGCATGAACAAAGGAGGAAAAGAGCAAGGCTCCATGTACCACTGTGAGCTTCAAAATGTTAGTACACTGGGCAGGTTGATGTTGCTGGTGACTGCTCATCAGAAATGTACAGCTCCAGATAAAGTATTATTTCACATCTGTCAAAGCACGTCCATCAGGCTTCAAAACTCAAGAATAAAGTCCGACTTTGAACACATGCGCAGTTTGTGGATCAGGTGCAATATGCCCGTGACCCTGTTGACATTTCCTTCAGCCAAAATCTTGTGGGGAGGTGACTTTAATATGGGGATGGATGATGCTGTAGATAGATGGCCCTCTAGAAGTACAAAAACATATATGTGGAACGCTTGGAATGATTGACATCAGGAGACATAGACATCCACAACAATTAGCTGATAAATCTAAATAATCCCAGACTGATTTGGGTTGATTTCCCACTATATTGGAATCAATGTGGAATCAGTCATGAGAGAACCCTTGATATTAACAGGTCATAAAGCTATTACAATTAAAATTAATATACAGGGACCATCTGTCAGTGAAAGTAATAAAGACTATCGGACTATTGGAAACTAAACATGTCTTTACTAAATAATGAGGAATTTTGAACCCTAATACCTGACCCTGGAAGCAAGCCAATCTCCTATACAATTATGGGAAACACTGGGAACTAATGAAGTGTGAAGTTAGAAAACTTGCAGTGTCAATGGGGAAAACAACTGCTAAAGCTAAAAAGGAAAAAGAATTTATAACGATTAGCAAAATAACAGAGCTCTCAGATAAAACTAGTCGACAGGGGAAGAACTGAAAGAATTAACATCCTTGTATGAAGATAAAGCTAAAGGGACCTCTGTGAGATCAAGCAGGAAGTAGATGGAAGAAAAAGAAAAAGAAAAAAATACAAAATACTTTAATTTAGTGAAAAATAAATGATGAAACTATCTTCTTTATGTAAATTCTGGGTTAATAATGTTGTGTGTAACAACCTTACCAAAATGGTAATTTTTGCCAAAATTTGTATACAACTAAATTCAGATAACTCAATAGAAACCGTTGATTTCTTAAAGAACATGTTGGATGATGTTACAGTTATAAATGAAAGTAGCAAGTTAATGTGTGATCAGAAAATCAACCTGACAGAGAAGGACAATAAGTCACCCGGGAATGATGGTTTAACAAATGAATTTTATAGGACCTTTAATAGTCACTTAGCCCTGTTCTTGGTTGCTATGTTTGATGAAGCAATAAAAAACAACTGCCTCCTACACTCTGTCAAGATCTTATTAAATTGATCCCTAAGCTAAGGAAGGATGCACTGTGATGCAAAAATATCTGCCAAGAGGTTAAAAACAGTATTAGAAATTATTGATGAAGAACAGTCTGGTTTTATGTCCGGCAGGAATATTTACAATAATATCGGACTGATTGATTATATGGATTTTATAAATAATAAACAGTTTCACTATGTTTGTTGATTTCTATAAAGCATTTGATACAATTAGTCACCAATTCATGTTCAAAGCTATAAAGGTTTTTGGTTTAGGGGAGGAATTTTTGAAAACAGTCAAGACTTTATATAATGACTGCAATAGTTCAGTGAAACTAGTTAGTGGCACTACATCGAGATTTCTAACTGCGCGTGGAATAAGACAAGAACCCTTAGTCCCTTTCTGTTTCTCCTTGCTACACATGTTATGGCAATTTATATTAAAAGAGGTCAGGCCCAAGGTATAGAAACCCTAGGTAGAGAATTCACATTATGCCAGCTGACAACTGTTTTTATCCAAAACAGGTTTGAGGTGATTAAAGTAATAGACCGTATTAATGAATTTTCTGTGGTAGCAGGTTTAAAAACGAGTGTCAACAGGTCAGCACTACTACCCCTGAAGAACTGCAACTCGACAGATGTGAACGGTATTCCAATTGAAAACACTGTTACACATTTATGTGTCATCACTGACAAAAGTGAGAGAAATCACAGTTGCTCACATTTTAATCCTATAATTGATCAAATAAAGAAAAAAATAATATTTGGCTACTCAGAGACCTGTCTATGAATGAAAAGGTTTTATTGTCTAAGGCTGAAGGAATATCTAGAGCCGTTTATGTAGATGCCCCCTAAAATATACTGGGAATTATATAAATGTTTACACAATTTTATATGGAGGAACAAATGTAAGACATTTTAAATAACTCCAAAAATAATGGTGCACTTGATGGTTTGAGCTTTGAAAAACTAAACCATACATTTAAAATAAATTGGCTAATTAAGTTGATAAAGAGACATTGATCTAGGCTTTGAAGATAATTTGATGGACAATGATTTTGTTTATTTTGTGCAATTAATCTTAATTAAAGGGAGGTTTACATTCATAAAAAGAAACGGACAGACTCCAGACTGAAACCAACACTTTTGCCATGGGTTATATGAATATGGTGCTACAATCAAAACTGCCAAGAATAAGAAAACTATAAAAACATATAACTTTTTTGTTTAATTTGATCTATATACATGATTTATCTCCCCTAAGGTTTTAATTTAAACATTTTTATTTCCATCCATCCATCTTTTTCCGCTTATCCGAGACCAGGTGGCGGGGACAGCTGTCTAAGCAGAGATGCCCAGACTTCCCTCTCCCTAGCACTTCCTCCAGCTCCTTCGGTGGGATACCGAGGCGTTCCCAGGCCAGCCGAGAGACATAGTCCATCCTGCATGTCCTGGGTCTTCCCCGGGGCCTCCTCCCGGTGGGACATGCCCGGAACACCCTAGGAAGGCACCCAGGACGCATCCTAAACAGATGCCCAAGCCACCTCAGTTGGCTCCTCTCGATGTGGAGGAGCAGCGGTTCTACTCTGAGCTCCTCACCCTATCTCTAAGGGTGCGTCCGGGCACCCTGTGGAGAAAGCTCATTTCGGCCGCCTCTATCCGGGATCTTGCCATTTCGGTCATGCCCCAAAGATCACGACACGACGGACCGGTACATTGACCGCATTACTGCAGAAGCTGCACCGATCCACCGGTCAATCTCCCATTCCATCCTTCCCTCACTCCTGAAAAAGACCCCAAGATACTTGAACTCCTCCACTTGAGGCAGGAACTCTCCACCAACCTGAAGGGAAAAAGTCTCCCTTTTCTGACTGAGAACCATGGTCTCGGACTTGGAAATGCTGATTCTCATTTTTACTTCATTTTATTTATTTATTTATTTTGCTTTGATCCCTTGGCATAAGCAGTGCTATTGTATATATTTTATACTTTGAGTTCTCCGTTAAAGTTAAAAATAAAATAAAATTATTTATTATAACTACTATAAAATAAAATTTCTTTGTATTCTTAGAAAAAACAAATGTACACTGCTCAAAAAATAAAGGGAACACATCAGATCTAGGATGTCTTATGTTGTGTTCCTTTTATTTTTTTGAGCATATGTATGCATGTTGACATTTGGCACGTGTTTTACGCCGGATGCCCTTCCTGACGCAACCCTGATTCGAACCCGGGCCGCAGCTGCGCCTTAACCACTAGCCTACTAGGGACAGACAAATACACACTGCATATTTTATATACAGTACGCTTTGACTTGTACAACAGTTTCTAGAAACAGTTTTGTGTACAACGTATTACTTTATGCCCAACCATAGACTAGACCCACATCACTGACAGCTGCTTTACCCCATAGTCATCTATTACCTGTGTCCTTGTTATTTTGAGTCATGCTTTTTATGCACCATAGCTGAAAAAGCCACATAAAATGCATTGTTTGGCACCAGCATACAATAAAAAGAAGTACATCGTTTATTATTGTTGATGGGTAACTTCACCTTGAGGTATTCGTCTGTAGACACGATGTCCACATTCCCAGCCTGCGCTCCTTTTAAAGGCACATTAATGTGGACGGTGGAGTAGGTCTGGCTCCACCAGTAGTCTGATACCAGGAAAGGCATTTTCGGTGCAGATAACGGGACTTTTAGCGTCAACCTGTTGTGTGCGGGCAGGTCGAGTCAGCAGCTACCACAGAGCAGCGGCTCCCCACTCCCGTAGCGATGTAGTGAGGCTAAACAGTCACACAAAAACCGAATCGTTGCGAAGAGCCAAACCTGCTTCTAGTGCAACATGGCGTGTGGTTACTATGGCGACAAGAGAGGCAGAATGCTGCCTTCACGTTTGTCTGAAAATCGGATCTGAGAGCTGTGACCAATAGGCCACGGAAATAATCAAACTCTGAATCTTTATTGGCCAATTGTGTTTAGACACAAGGGATTTGACTCCGGTGCATAGGCTCCCAATGTGCTTTGTAAGGCAACAATAAATAAAAACAATAAAACGTTATGTATTCAAATAGAAAAAAATGTTCAGTTAACAAATGTGCTAAACTGTGCAATCAGTAGGAGAAAGAATGAAAGAAATAGGAAAATGAATGGGAGAAAGAATAGGACAACAAACAAAACTGCACTGGGTGATTGCTCTGTCCTGTCATATGGTCATGGATTAACTGTTCATCAGAGTGATGGCACAGATAAGAAACTGTCTTTGTGTCTGGTTTGTTTTGGTCTACAGTGACCTGTAGCGCCATCGAGAGGACAGGAGTTCAAACTGTTGGTGTCCAGGGTGTGATGGGTCTGTATATATATATATAAGTATATATATATGTACAGTATATATAGTGTGTGTGTATATACACATATATATAAAAAAAAAATTCCCCACTCGCCCCCCACTTTGGGGCGGTCTTGTATTCCTTCCTTCAAGCTCGGGTCCACGGATCCTTCAGA